CCTGCTGAAGACTATTAGGGAGTGATACAGTCCAACTGCTGTGGTACAGGAAAGCCATTTCACCTCATCCTTTCTGGGCGGGTGAAGGAACTGGGGCATGGGTATAGCTACTCAAGATTTTATTTTGTCTTGGTACTAGGGTGCCTCTGGGAGACACTTATTCATTGGCCCAATTCTGAAACAGCAGCAATACTTTTTGCAAGGCTCCATGACAAGGCTCAGAGAGGAAACAGCGGACAAAGGAAGTCCTTTGGATTACATGCAGAACTGCTGACATGCCTCCAAAGAGAGACTGAGAAACTGCTTACATACATGAGCAATTTAGGCTATTGATATCAATACTGATTAATTAGGTCTATATTCTGATAACAACAACAGCTCCCTTTCAGAGCTTTATTAAAACTTCCTTTCTTAGGTAATTAACTCTTTCTCCTGATCAAAGTTTCTGGAATATTAGCAGATGTACAATAGAATACATAATTCACTTCCACTTGAGCTGGAGCCACAGCATACTCTTACTAAGAAACTATTATCCTTTTGAGTATGTACAAACTCGGCATACTCTGTGCAAATTCTTTATTGAAACAACAATCAATTTACAAGCTGGATCACATTTCATTTTGCCACTTCAGCATGAACTGGTCTCTTTGTGGTTTACGGCTGTGAACTATAAAATCATAAGTTATTTAAATCAAAATACAGCTTCTCAAAAGAACACATTCATATCTGTCTTACATTTCTTGTAAAATGAAAGAGAATTTCATAACAAATGAAATATAACTTAAGATACTTCAGTGCAAGCATTTCCTTTGCATCTAAGAAGCTTTCAGCTGTCCCACTAAATATGGCATAGTTAAAAGGCCTACTCTTAAAACAGCATGCTGCCAAGAAATTCCATGAGAAATTTTAAAATTTGACACTGTTAACGCTTTCCAGAATTAACTGATCTGCACCAAACTGAATGTCAGAAAGCCCTAGTTATACATTACAGTACTTGTGTCATAAAGTAACTGCAAATTGAGGAACTGGCATAGTATGTACATTAGAATAAAACAGGCACTGATTTAAAAAAAAAATCAACATTTGCCCATGTATGCCATTCTGCAAATCTTACGACTACACAGTAATTCTTAAGCCCAGGAACAAAGTGCTGTGCCTTACCTAACACCAATAAACCTGCATTAAAATGCTGATCTATGGGTTCTTTTAAAATTGTTAAATGACAATCTCAGAAAATGACTGAAGGGCAGGTTTCATCACAAACATACTCAAATCAGAGAGAACAAAAAAGGATCAGCAGTAAACAAATGCTGCTCAAAAAGAAAATGTTGAGTAAGTAGATAGTACTCTGTTAAGTGGTCTGATTAATGTGGTCTTAGATCTAGTGAAAAAAGAACAGTAAGTGTAAAATTCAAATCTAACACTGCTTTCTTGTGCTGCAGAAATCTAGTCATGTTTCATGAAGTTTTGGCAAAAGTATTTTACAATGGTGTAAATATATTCTGCAGATCTCTTTTCCTTTCTCAGCCTGGCCCAGTGTTCCTTATACATTTAGAATGCATATTCAGTTGGACTGGATTTTCCAGATTGAGTGTTGTAAGAACCATTAATGTTTAGTGTTACAATAAATAGAGCATAGTCCATGATGGGAACAAATCGCTGTAATGTCCCTGAAGTGCTTAAGTAAGTTGCATGAATATATATTACAATGCAAATAATATTTTCTTAGAGCCATCATTATTTTTATATTTGTTAATTGTGTTCTTGCACCATAAAATGGCCATTCCCTAAGAAATACTGCAGGATAGAATTGTCTATTTTATAATAGCATAGACAGAAAGTTTGAAACAGGGAAGATGGGTTTGGGTCTTGCTTCCCATCTATCTCCCACAAAGGAAGTGCCTGAAAGCATGTAGAAAGCTTTAGGCTTTACAGGTATTATATCAGAGTCATAGAATTGTTTAGGTCAGAAAAGATCTTTAAGATCAGTAAACAAATGCATAAAGATACTGAGCTGCATACATGAAAGTAGAAAACATAGTTGAACCAGAACCATTACAATCTTCAGATTTCTTCAGATACACTGCTGTTCTGCTTTTATTCCTGTAACACCACAAAACTAAATGTCTGAAGAATTTATAGCAGACCGGCTGGAGCACTAGACCTGTTACGTGCATCTAAGCCAAATCACTGTTGCTTATATGTGGTTTGCAATGTACATTTGTGTGTGCTTCAAATACATGCTCTTTGTGGGCAATCACTGGGAGGAAAAAATATAAATCTGTATCTCCATGGAAATTTGCACAGAGATCTTGCAGAAAACCATAGTGATTGATTGCTCTTTAATGTATCTCAATAAATAAATAATAAACAGGCTAGAGGACAACCTGAGGGCAGCAGTTGGATCAGAACTGCCTGGTACCAATCACCGTATAAATACACAAAGGGGTCTGGTCTTTACTGTAAAAAGTTCATAATTAGAAAACAATTAAAATACTCTAATAAATAATTTTGAAACTTTGGTTTTTTTAAGTGTAATTTAAAAGCTATTTTTATGTTGTCAAGGAAAACATCCTTGCTCATCTGTGCAGTCTTAGTTGGGCACCAGGCAGGTAACTTCAGAATGCGTGAGCATTGTTTGTAAATGCTGGTCGGGCAGAAAAATCAAGATGCCTCTTTTCAGGAGGTTAAGGTGAATTAAAGGAATTTAGTGCAAGTTCCTGCTTTTGTTTCTGCCCTCAGCCTTTTTCATACCAGAAGCAAATTAAGTAACTTGAAAAACTGATGCAAACACTAAATAGAAACATACTTTGGACATAGACAAGAAGTTAACAGTTTGCATCAGTAGTATTTTCAATCACACTGGTCAGAAGTGAGGTTCTTTATGGTATTCCCTTAATTTACCCTGTGTTCCAGATTTATATTGCTTCACTGGAACCAAAATATTTCCAGCCACATTCCTAAATGGACTTTGCCCTTGTTTCCTTTTGGGCATGTGCAAACGTATTTTGTATAGATGCCTGCCGCTGTGGTGAGCACAAGCAAACATTAGGCAATTAAATGCTGCAATTTTCACAAGTTGGTCTCAAAATCTGAAGTCCCTTATTAAACATGTATTTTTTTAAATAACTTCAGAAAGGTAAATATGGAGCCATCATCTACGCAAGTCATGGGGTGTTTCTCTATTACGCTGCTAGTGAAGCTCTGCACTTTAACGTGAGGAAGTTGAGATAAAATGTCAGTTCATTATCTAGGATTTTTAAAGAGAGCTGCAACATTGACTTTGTTTGGTCTCAATTACCTGTGCAGTTAATATACCTGACTGCCTTGAATGGACACCTTACGTAGGTGTGGCTACCTCAATAAAATGTCCAGAGAGCAATCCACACCTCATCTCTCCTAAGACTTAAGTAACTTCTTTTTCTGCAATATGCTTAATGCCAGATCGATTTTGAGTATCTGTACTTACACTACAGTCCTTCTTAAAAACTATAAGGTGGTAGTTTGTTCATTAGTTCCAAATTAAATGCATGCCAGGTAATTAAGTAATATGCGATGAATCTTACACAAACTCCTCCTTGGAAGTGCTTTCATTCCAGTCTCACTCCAGAGAAGGTCCTTTTTTTTTTTGTCTGTTTACAATAAAAATTATCACTTCCTTTCCACTCCTGGCATTTCCTGGCATAAACATTGACCCTTTTTAATGCCCCAGTTCCTGTGATCATGGGGTAGGGACACATGTACTCAAGTAGTGAACATCCTACATAGGTAGGAGGTAAAATACCAAAGCAATTACAACACAGTAAACAGTTCATGTGATCATCATTGGAAATTCACAAGACAATTATATATTTTTTTTTTTTTTTAGTTTGGATAAAACACTGTTAAACTTATGCTTATAGATGAACTTAGGTTTGGTCTTCAAAATATGAATCTGCATCAAATTGAGAATCCCTATAAAAGGGTCTTCTGCCATTTCAGCCTTGTTACCAGCTGATGACTGGCATTTGCAGGACTGTTAGAGAACCTGCATATCTTCTGGTAAGGTAGTGCATACTTACTCCTACCAAATTACTACAAAAAAAAGACATCTTGCATATTTGCAGTTGTTTTCCATATAAACTTCTGGCAAAGTAAAAAATGGTCAAATATATGCAAAAAACCCTGCAGAGCTGTTGGACTGCAACTTTCTGTAAGATGTTTACAGGCTTTCCCATCTGTAAAATACACTTCAAAGTTGTTTCTTGATGTGAAACCCCCCCAGTTTTTGGCATCTTCATTTCATGGAAAAAGGAAAACTATTTCCCATGTGCCTGAGCAGTGTAGTCTCAAATGAAATGGAAACATTTCAACTTTCTTTAATAGCCCTCTAAATGACAATGCAGCTGAACAAACAGGTTTTGTAAATGGATCTATTAGGATTTTATTTGGCTACTGGAGTGCTGCCTTTTTGGGGAGTATTTCAAATTCACAAGATAATATTTGCAAAAATGCAGTAGATGGAAATAACAAGAGTCAAGGAGGAAAATGAAAACCAGTTTTATGTTTAGTAAGTTCAAGTGTCCTACATCAAAGACTACCAGTGACTTTCAGGAGGCTGCTCCAGGGGACTCCAACCTAGAAAATGCTGAGGTAAATGTTTCTTGGAAATACTCCTAATCAAAAAGAGCAATTAATATTAATGTAATAGCAATTACTCTGCCATACATCATGGTAAACTAAAGTCAAACTGAGAAGAAAGTGCCAAATAATCCACATACATGCTTTTGCTATGATAGTCTCCAGGTAAGGCTTAGCGGCAATTACAATATGTATTTTTAAAAGAGCTCCACCTGATTTTCCTGCTATGCATAGATTCAGGAGTAACTATCATACATGGCTTTCATATATAATGCATGTATTTTTGTCATTTGCCAATGCTGTGTCATCAGAACTGAGTTCAGCAGAAGGCTCAGGAAGGGGTTCTGCAGGAAGTGCTGGTGTTTGAGAAGTGTCTTCTTCCTTGGTGTCCAACTGCATGCTTTCTTGTGACTGACCATCCATGCAGTCCTTTTTAGACAATGGGTGAACTGATACTTTTATTGCAATCTGTTGAGGTGGCTCGTGCAGTGACGATGCATCAGAGTCAGCTGTGGGAGAGTCACTGCGCTTCAAAGCATTTGGGATCATGTACAACTCATCTGTTTCAGTGGTTTCCTGGCCTTCTGCTGTCTGCCGTACAAAATTCTGTCCTTGCTCCTCCAGACCGACAACCTCCATGATTTCTTCCATTATAGTCCTACAGTTCATGATGAGAGGTGGCAAAGGTACGCTCCGAGCAAGTTCTTCAATATAGCGAGCAAATTCCATGGTCTTGAACTGGGTTACTTTGGCAAGCTCAAGTGTTTTGGCTGAAGTGATAATTGGGATACGCTTTGCAATCTCAAAGGCTTTTTGGAGTTTCTCTGCCCCTTCTGTTCTGAAGAATTCATTGATTGCTTTCTCAGTTTTCTTCAGATGACTGCTCATCATACATAACCGAGTAATGTTCAGTATCATAACAATGGTAAAAGCTACAAGGCAGACTATCATGTAATAGATTCCCATATCTCCAGAGGTGAAGACAACCCTCAGCGTCACAGTATTGTTAACACTGCCATACGTATTAGATGCAACACATGTGTATTTACCTCTGTCTTCAAAAGACACGCTGGTAATGTTTAGTAGCCCATTGTCAAGAAACCACCATTTTCCTGTTGGAGAGGAGACAGAGTAACTTAGTTAGAAGTATTTTGTTCACATGATCAGCATAGTCTTAAACATCAGCTTTGTCAAACTGGCTTTAGATTTTGGAAGAAGGAAATAATGTTCACAAGAAGACAAAGATTTTACCATCACAAAGGCCTGTCTGTCCCTAGACGTGTTACTATCAAATCCCTGACATCAACTGTGAATAATCAGATCATGCCCTGAAAGCGTCTCATGAAAAAATTTAATATGCATGACATCTATCACAATCTTATGGCCAGTTAAGTTTCAAAGATAGGACTACTTACCCCAGAGAGCCTCCCAAATACCATGTCACACTTCCTTAAAAAAACATTAACAATGGGATTGTGAGGGATACTAAGCCCTCCTTATTTTGTTCCCTGACAATGCGTTTTCTTACAACTGGGTTATTTTTGGTGTTTTGTTACAGTATCTCATATAATTCTGTTAATGTAAACTTTAAACCCCTGAAATTTCAGAGATCATGTACTACACTGCCTACTCTCTGAGGTTTTCAGAATCTAATTTTGAAATATGATTTTATAAAGAAGAAATAGGAACCAGAGGAGTAATATGGATGGGAAAAGGAAGAGCCGTGACAGAGAATATCTTTTTTGCCAGTGTGAACTTCTACACATCATGATGGAACTTATTTTAAGAGTCATTTCTATCAATGAAATATAAGTGGTATCTTTGGTCGTTATATGTAATTGTACATGTATGTTTTATATCCTTTGAACCTGGCACAGCAGAACAATTTAGCTATTAAATTGAGACTAAACAACATGTTAAAATCCAGCGCTGCTATCACTGCTAAAGTGGTTCAAGATTCAGGTCATTACTGAGTTTGCCATTATTCCTTATTCATTGGTAATGAATTAGATTTTTTTAGTTCCCCAAGTGAGCTTAATTTTTATTTAAATATCACTACCATTTTAGAGCTAAGGATGTGGTGGGTTTTTTTTTTCCTGCTTTATTTGGTGTGGTATGACTTACTAAACTGCAACTTTGCTATAAAAAACATGATTCAACTTCAATGGGAAAATCTGGTATCAATTCTTGCATTCATGTAAACCCACTCCTAGAAGGGGTGAATCCTAGAAGGTTTACATGGTGAAGACAACAGCCAGAAAGTGTAGGAGTGCCTCTGTGCCTTCTGAATGCTTTATACAGGGTGTTGTCATACAGGTTTCCTTTTAGAACAATGACATAGGCTGATGTAAGACAATAAGATCATCTAATACTGCTGCTCAGAGGCAGGCTCAACTGTTTTCAATCTCTGTAACACAATCCCAAGCAGGCACCTGGCAGGTATCTGCTGAAGGCAGTAATGGAATCTTCCACAGGAAGGAATTTCAGATGTTCACCTATCTTTACTATCAGAAAGTTGGTTTTCCTTAAACCTAACCAGTTTAAGTCTATTAAGATGGAAGTTGTTTTTACTTGGGGTTGTAACACACTCTCTTTATGGCAAAAGTTATCACTAGCCCAACCAAGCCCCTTTGCACCCCAGCTGCCTTTGTGCAGTTTCCACATGCAAATTTGCTCACAGCTCCCTGAAGAACAGTTGTGCCATGCAGCACAAGTGGGAAATGGCTCCAGAAAATGCACAGGTGACAGCAGATCCTGCAGCAGCAGGTCAGGCTTTGCTTTCATCTGCGTGCCAGCCTGGAGAGTTAGCCTGGTGGTAAAATGCAGATGCCAAACGATGTGCTGAAAGTAGGCTGAAACAAAACAGGAAATTCAGCTTTGCGGTCTTACTAGCCATACTGAATAATGAAGAAAAAGCTGGAGAGGGACTTTTATGAGGGCATGTAGTGATAGGATGAGGTGGAATGGTTTTAAACTGAAAGAGGGGAGATTTAGATTAGACATTTAGGAAAAAACTCTTCATTATGAGGGTGGCGAGGCACTGGCACAGGTTGCCCAGAGAAGCTGTGGCTGCCCCATCCCTGGCAGTGTTCAAGGCCAGGTTGTACAGGGCTTGGAGCAACCTGGTCTAGTGGAAGGTGTCCCTGCCCATGGCAGGGGGTTGGAACTAGATGATTTTCAAGGTCCCTTCCAACCCAAATCATCCTATGTTTCTATTAAGGCAGCTGAGCAAACACACAGAATCTGTGATTAGAGGACTAAAACCCCTATGCAATGCAGGTAAATCACATGCAAGGTCTGCAGTCCTGTCACAGGCTGGTGTGTACTTTGCTTCTCTATTTATTTTATTCTTTACATGAAGTTCTTTGGTTGTTAAAAAGATTACTATATATATATATATTTTTTACATTATTTCTTTCAAGGAAGAATCTGTGGGCAACTTTGAAACTCATTAGTCAAAAAAAGCCTTTATTTCAGAGTAGTTATGGGCTTTTACCCTTTTGAAAGTTCTTCTAATTAAGTATGGCTTATCCAGATTGGGTTTTTACATTACCTCCAGTAGAAGCCTATACAGAAAGTATTCCCACAAGATCCTTGCCTCAGTTCCTGTATGTACAGTTCTTAATTACATCTTTTTATCTTCTTACTTAGAATTTTTAACTTAGCTGAAACACTGTTTTTTGCCTTAGCGTAATTCTTGAAAACAGCTGCATCACTTTGCCTGAAATTTAAAAATATAGAATAAATAAAAAGCTCAGTCTAAAGCAGACCTTCACATAAACAAATCACTCCAATCTGCTAAAGTTAGGCAAATTCAGAGGAAAACTCTTTTATAGAAGAAATGGCAGCATCTGTAATAGATGACACTTCCTTCTCCACCTTTAGAATAAGAAAAAAATACAGAGTATTGGCTGCTCAGTATTTCTTTGAATTGCAATGTTGGCAAAGTGGGTGTTTATTAATTGTTAAATGACAAGACACTTTGCTGATGTATCCTGGCTCCAGCTGTTATAAATGACATAATGGCATTGAACTGTGACTCAATGACTGGGTCTGGGCCAGTGGATCCTGGCAGATAGTATAAGCAGAATGAGAAAACAATGATTAGAAAAGGTATTATTGCTGGGTTTTGGTAACAATTCAATGCCATAAGCAATATAACTGTACACATGGTAAAGAAAGACCTTGAGCTAGGAAGCACTTCTTACAAGAAGACAGTCATTTTCTTAAAGGGGGAAGTGCACTGCTGAAAGTCCAAGTGATGTTGTCTTAATAGTACATATGCAACTTTTACTGACTTGGACAAAGTTTTTGCTCACCTACCTAAATATCTGTGTGAGTACCTACCTCTCTCAGTTGACTATACAAAGACCTAAAGTTAGATGCCTAACAAAAGGGGAAAATTCTTGTTAGTGAGCCTTAGGAAAACACTCTAGTGCAGAAATCACAGTATGTTGCCATGACTGCACAGATTATGTCTGAAACTACTAGCTCAAGTAGTTCCTTTCTCTAGCTTTACTCAGAAAATTATAAAATACTATCATGTAAAATATAACCAATTATGCAGTAATCTTTTACAGATACACTATGCTCTTGAACGTGCAGCTGGGTCAATCATCATACTGTCATAGCAGAATTCTCCCTCAGGTCAGCTATTAGTTAGGCAAGCCATCTTGAATTTAGTATGAATAACTAGAAGTTTATTTCATCATGCTGTGAACAAAGCAGTCAGTATGGAAGTATTACATGAGCAAAACACCTTTCCCCCCACAATGAAATGTTCCCTAGAAGCATAACTAGGATTAGCACCTAACCCTTCCATTTAAGGAAAACAAGCTCGTGTAATTAAGGTCTTTGGCAAATGCAACTGAAGAGTCTTAACTAAAGCCAGAAAGGGTCAAACTTGGCTTGTCCTTCTGACTGCTGCCCTATATAGGTTTTTCTGTTGGTTACTCAGGGCATCTCCTGTATGTCACCCTCCACAGCACTACACATAAAGACTGCAGGTGTGTCAGGGAGTTAGCTGTGTTGAATTCATGTCAACAAATTATTCTCATATGTCAAGAGAATCCTCCCTCGAGTTGGAAAACAGCTTTTTAGTCTTTTTGGTTTCAGAGAAGAACAAAAGAGGACAGAAAGGGAAACAGGATCAAACCTGAAGTCTTCCAGTGAAAAGAAGCCTGTCTACACTTTCTGTTAAGTGTTTCAGCTTCATGCTCTGTGTTGCTAAAATAACACCTTAAAAAAATGTTACTGTTTTCTTCCAAGGTGCACACAACGAATTTACGGCTGCTACCGTGCTTTCATGCAATTTCACACAGGAAAATACCAAAGTCATGCTCTTAAATTCAGTCAACCTGCTGAAATCTGAAGTGTCTCTGGACAGGCTACATCAGTGAGAATACTACGATCTTACCTTTATTCTCCTCCTCTTTGAGCAGGTAGCCATTGGAATTGTACCATCTGTAATGTGGACTAGGACTACCTTGGACATTGCAGTCGATCAAGGCACTACTCCCCTCCTTGACTATAATATGGTCGATCCGGGAGATCACCACAGGCACGGATCCCATGTTCATGTCAGTGCGGTTGAAAGTGCTATTAGTCACATCCTCAGCAGTTGTCAAAGCTGCTAATAAGATGACAAGGCGTGTGGTAGGCAGAAAGTACAAAAAGTGGTGGCTGTTCAGTACGTTCATTTTCCTTCAGCGGTATACACAACTGGTTGGGAACTGGGATTGTTTCTGTTCAGCACAGGCCCTTGAGGTGAGGAGGTCACAGGAGAGCTCTACTTTGATCTGTGCAATTTAATGTTTAAAATATCCTATAAAATAAATAAATAGGTACAATGAGATGGCATGTATAAACAAACCATTAGAAGTGCTCTTTTAAAATAGTGACACATCCATTAATGCATTTCACAATCATCAGCTCAGTGTCTTGTCTAAATGCTAAAGTTATCACAGTCCTTATTCTTACTGGAAAAAGATGCATACATTTTCCTGACAATAGTGTTGTTCAGAGTGGCAGGCGTGGGAGAAAGCTTTTATCACCTAGACACTTAGCAGCAATTTAGCTAGAGCAGCAGCTACAGTTGTATGCCAAAAGTTTTACAGATTTTTCTTTTTCTTTTTTAACATTTGCAAAATCAACAGGAGAAACAAAGGTACAGCATGTTAAAGCTGTCACTACCAGTTCAGTGCTGCAACTATGTCACGTGCACTGTTTGAGGTGAATTGTGGAACACACTGTAAGAAAGAATTGCTCCAGGAAAGGTTTTTGGAGCTGCTGTTGGAATCCTTAATATACACAATTTTGTCCAAATACAATAGTACATACGGCAAAGTATCTCAGACCATTCACTTTTTTTAAACTGCTGCATTTTTTCAAGTTATCTGAGATAAAACATAGCATGGAAGAATATTCTTAAAAGAGGATATTTGGTACTTGGTAAAGTCATTTCAATGTAATGAAATGAGCAGATTGTCATGGTTTAAGCCCAGCCAGCAACTAAGTACCAAATGAAGTTGGGAATTTTCCATTCCTTATGTGTCATGAAGCATTTTGCCTTATACTTTTTGTACACTCTCACTAAATATTTTCCCTCAATTAATCATCTACAATGAGCCCTTTCTTACATAGTGATTTCAAATTTTAGACAGAAGAGGGGTTTACAAATGTGCTCTGTACTGGAGTCATTATGCTCTCGGTGAACACAGCTGGCATTCAGTACTGAGTGAGGACACAGTGTCTGCCTTGAAGTGAGCACCTTTGAAAATTTCAAGAGTCAAAAGGTCACAAATTATGCTAAATTCACATCAGATTATCTAACTACATTGGTTTTACTCATTTTTTATAAGGTAAATAACTGAAACTTGGTAAAACTTACTAGTTAAAGGAGTCTACCTGGAATCCAAACATAGGTAACTAAAAAAATTTCCCTGAATGAGTATTTTACTTGCAAAATCATTTACATTTTGTTAAAAATCTGGTTGACACTGTGGTAACTCCTCTACCATAGCACAGAAAATGACTGCTGACAAGGCTACCTCAGTTCCATATATACAGGAAACACTAAAATAAAAACAAAGGAAACACTAAAATGAAAACAAACAATCCCATTCCCTCTTTTAATCTTTATTCAAAAAGGAAAGAAAACAATATTACTGTTTTTCACTATTAATATTTGACCTAGGTTATTTTCTTCTCTATTCCCTGTTCTCTGTAAAGCAATGAACTTCATTTCATACAAACAGACACAACTTATTAAAAGAGCAAAGCAGTCTCCTCCATTTTGCAGGACAAATCATTACTAGAAATGACAAACTACATGTTTTTAGATAAGCTGCACGCATGGTGTGGATGCCTGTCACAGCTCCAAGCTTGCCCTCATTTTTTCTCTGTTTTTCTAATTATTGAATGTGGAAATCTTTGTCTTGAAAAGCCAGAATGTTTTTTTACTTTAAATTAATATGCAAATCTCATTTGTCATATAAAACTATAAAAACAATGACTTTAGAAATCCATTTCCAGTTATGCAAAACATGTAGAGCCTGAAGGTTTGAAGTTCCGTATAGGTACAGCCTGTCTGAATCTGCACTTTGGAAAAATCCCTTAATTCTGCCTATTCACTTCAGTAACTATTTACATTTCATTTACATTATTTACATAACTATTTACATTACATTACTCCATTAACCTTGGAGACAGCCATTCTATATGGTCACACATTCACTCTGTAAAATGCTTCTGTGCAGTGTTATAGATCTGCATTGCGCCATACAGAAAAGCCAAAAGACACGTCACGCTTCCTGGCAAGGGAGTAAGAACAAAGACTGGATGGATTAAGACAATGGGAAGGGCAAAAGAACCACATAAACTGATTACACTTTGAGTTGCTAATTACTAACTGTGGCTTGTTATTATTGTATTTGAGCCTACCATGTTTTTTGATGGCAGAAAAATCAGTAGCAATCAAAAAAGGTGTTTACCATGGACAGCAATTTGCATTCCAGAAGGAAATTAAATAGCATCACCCCAATGGGTGAATAGAAAACCTGTATGGAAGGACCTGTAGTGTATTGGGAAGCTTAAGGCAGGTGCTTACTCTATATGTTTACTCATGTTTAATGCAGAGCATATGAAAGCAAAACCCGTACCTTTGTGTAGTGATAACAAACGTGGCTTGTTAATATGGTCAGAGGGCCAATTATTTGTCTGAAAATATCAGCAACTCCCTCAGTCTGGCACAGAATTGAGCCATAAATAGCTACAGTAAATGTTAAGAAATAGCGCCAAATAATTTATGCCTACTGTGGGAAATCCATACCTACTCACATCGCTCATGGGAATGTATGTTCCCATGTACGTTCCTGGAATGAATATTAAGATAGCACTAAACACCTCTGTAGATACATTTCTCTTTGAAATAAATACAGTTTGATGGCTAGTATGAGGAACAAGCAGGCAGTATGGTTAAAGCAGGATATCTGGAAATGGTGGCTACTGCTTTCACGTGCCATCCCAGGAAATGCTCTGAATGTTCCAAGGAGTCTGGGAGACAGATCTCTGAAGAACAATGTTTTAAACTGCAAGTTTGAACAAATGTTCCCATGGCACCTAGGAAGGGGTAGGGAATCTTTTCTTCGGCGTGCATCCTCTGCACTGTTAGTGGGGAACAAAAGAAAAATGGAAGAAACCGAGGTTTTCTCAGCCTCACCTAGCACAAAAAAGAAAGTTAAAAAGGCGGACAACAAAGGACCTGCAGGCCCAAGACCCTCTGCTGACCTGTTGGACAGGACCAAAAATGCTGCAGTCATGTTAGGAAAGCAGAAAGAAGCAGAGAGAAAGAACTGAAAGAGCAGAAAATGTGCTTAGGTTGGACTCTGGTGCAAAGGGAGGTTTCCTGAGAGTTTCTGTACTGCTTTGCTGCAGGCACAATAGCGGCCTGAGGATATCAGGGAAAACAAATTTGGAAGCAAGCTGCTTTGTTAAACATAAGTGACGTAATGAGTTATGATTCAATCACACAACTAAATGGGCAGAATGCTAAGGAGACCGAAACAGGACTGCTAGTGACATCTACCCACTTCCAGCAAAGAAGCAAGAGAATCCAGAGTATCGGAGAAGTGGGTACAGTGCTGCCCTGGATCTTGGCCATGAGAGGTGGTAATTAGCTGTGGCCCATGATGAACCTGATGAAGGCAGGCAAAATTGTAACCTTTTAATCTGACTTGAAGTCAGAGAAAGCTGGATTGATCAGATTAAAAAGACTAAGAGTAACTCAAAACTAATGAAGGAGGTCATGTGCAATACTGACTATTGCTCTTTAGGAAAAGACTGAGTCTCTGGGAGCATCTTTGCCACAAAAGGGTCATTATAAAGTTAAATTTCTGGTCATGGAAAGAATGTAAGCATTCCTTTTTCCCAGCCCCAAAGCACACGACCTACTTGTAAAACACTTATAAAAAGTAAAAGTTCATAATATATTTAGTATGGTTATATAGAGTTGGTTTTGGTTTTTTTTTAAAATCTCTAACTGTGGTGCATGAAAAGCAAAAAGAACACCTCCAGCTACTCTGAGCTACCTTTTCCACCCAAAGTTGTAGTCAGGGACAGGCTTACCTCCCAAGATGGAAAACAGAGGAATCCCCAAACTCTTCTCCAGGACCTAGAACATATATATAGGTAACTGACCCTGCCATATTCTATCTGTAGCAACATTTACCCCTGAAACATGGTTTGCCAGTGATCCTTACATTAAATAGTTTTGGTTTTTTCTTACTCAACCCAAATGGTATAAACTGAAAATCTGAAAGTAACAAATTTACTGCTTATGGATTAACTTTCAAGGAAAACTGCATGAGACTTGAGCCATATGAGGGACCTATGACAGGCTTTTCTTCCAAGTGACATGATAGCAACCTCTACTGTGCTCTCTATGCACATCTATCCAGAGATGTGCTCCAGAGTAAGCACTACTGCAGCATCATGGTCCTTTGTGAATCGGGCAAAAACTGAGGATAACACTTCTCCGTCCAAAATCAAGCATCAGTCTGAACAGAAGACATAGCTTGGACTGGCTGGGAACATTAATCACTCAAGAGACATGTTCTGATTGACCATTTATTTTTTAAGGTCACAGATGACTTTGCTCCCCAGTACTACCACCACCAAAGAAAATGACTGTGGGTGAGGGGCCACGTTTGCAAGTACTGTGTTTGTGCAGAACAACATGATGACAGAGCACAAAAGAACAGAAAAGCAGGGCAGTGGTGCATACCTTTTCCTGGCTCTCTCACTTCTGTAAGACTGCCCTGTTCTTGTTCTTGGAATAATGTGTAATCCTATTAACTGTGAGGTTATTCAATTCAGAAGTAAAGTACAAGAAAACAGCTTGTTGTATAATGCATAAATTATGTTCCTATAGCTTTAACATCCCAATGCTATCTTGCTTGGCTTGTAAGTGATCAAGAAAACAAAATAATTTTCATTCTAGTTCTCATTTGTCTATAAGTATCAAGGATGATGCTACAAAACAAAACTAGAGCTAGTTCAATATTATTTAGAAACTAGGTACTACCTTTCCTGGTTTCCATGGGCAATGCCTTTATAGAGTGGGCAAGAGTAAAAGCTAACAGGTTTTACTGGAACAGGAATGCAAATGAAGGAACTTACGCCACGTAGAAGGCTGGAAGCT